AGCTACGAGCACATCCAGGCCGCCCTTTCCAGCAAGGATGGGCGGCTTCCCAGAGTGTACCGGCTGTTTCGATAAAGTTGCAGCTGCCCCAGCGAGAACTTTGGTTAAGACAACCCATTTCTTGCCAAGATACTTTTGTCTGCAAGAAAGGCAGCTTGGCACACACTCTGGGTGTGGGAGCGTGGTTGGCAGAACCATTTTCATGTGTCTGTTCAAAATCTGTTGATCCTCAAAATAACTTATTTTGTAAGACTCAAACTATGTGAGAATTTGAAGGCTAGGCAGGTGAAGAGAGTTGCCTCCTGAAAATCAGATTACTCATGTTGATTGTCTTTAATCGGGTGGGTTAAACACCAGGGTGTAATACTGGCTTTCTTTGTAGGAGTCGTCAGTCTTTGATGCGAGTGATCTCACAACTAGCTGCTGTGTGTTTTGGGAGGCCTGACCATTCAGAAGATGCCTTCATGGGGCAAAGGCTCAGTTTATCAAAAGGCTCCCTCTTGTCTCTTTGGTCCTCTTCTGACAGGATGTTCCCCCTTATTTTTGTTATTTTTCTTAGTAGGTGGGTACCCTTCCAAACAAAACACCTGGCTCCACCCAATCTTGCCTTTTATTTCCTAAGAATGCATAGGACGGCATTTGGGACCAATTCATTCCTTCTGAGACAAGCTAATAATGTTGGTGCTTTCCATACATGACCCTCAGAGTCAGGACCGGGAGCCAGGTTTAGTGCTGGGGCACTCCTAAGGATTGTTGGAGACCCCAGACATCACTGACTGAACATGCAGTGAAGAATTTTTATCTCTTCAGAAACAGAATGTAAGGTTCAAACTAGACATGATGTTGGCATTTAACACCTTTAAAAAGGTAAACGGAAGCCGCGAGGGAAGGACTCTAAACTGGGAATACGAAGCCCTGCCTCAGTGCAGATGAACAGTCTGAGCTGCTGTCTGGTTTGGGATGAAAAGCTGCCTCTGGCACAATGCGTCTTCTGTGCTTAACAGACCCTGTGATGACTGGGGAAGGGTGGGGAGGGTTTAAATCACTGTTCCATTGACAGTTTTTTTCTTACCCCAATCCTCTGGCTGCTGTTTGCTTTTATCAATCAGTCAATAACTGGTATACCAGCAGCTGCCATAGAAATGCACCTAGTATATTACATAAATTAGAATAATTACATAATTGGGATTCTCCTACCAGAAAATATAAATTCTGTTATCAGAATGCTTGGAGGAGTGAGCTGGGCAGAGAGTAAAAAGGGACAGGAAAGCTACCAGACCAATACACTGCTTAAAATCTCAGAAGACTTGAGTGGGGCTTCTACCCATTATTGCAGAAATCTGGGTAATGCAATTACAGGTTATTGAAGGCCATAACAAGGCCATCTTCTGGAGAATATCTAGGAGGAATCCTGCACGTGCAGGACTTTAGCATAAAAGAGGGGACCACAAGAGGCTCTCAAGAACCCTGCCTAAAAATGCTCAAGAACACCCATGAAATTCAATACAACTTTGCAGCAGAAATTGCAAGGACTAATAGTGCTGTATAGAATTTTGAAGGGCTGTTTTGGTTCAATGGGACTACAATCAAAGGAGCCCTCTGCCATGAAGCAGCCAGCTGAATTTGATGGCCCTGTAATGACACTTGGGGATTCAAAGCAACACTTGCTTTGTGAATGAAAGCAAAACTAAATTAGATCACAACCAGCCCTAGTAGATTACTGAGGAATGCTGAAAATGCAAGTCCAAACAAAAGATTTGCAATTTTAAGGAACAGTAAATTGTGCAGAACCTTAAGGATGGAATGAGAGAAGCCTTTTGAAACTCTCCTTTGGATTTGCGGGCAGAGAAATTGGTGGGCGATTTTTCCAGGGAAAGAATATATTCTCCAACAGAGTCAAAGACAAGATGCCCCTTTTGTAACAACACAAGCATTACTACTGAAAACATGGGTGATGTTCACAACAGGTTATTTAATTTTAGAATTGCTCTGTAGTGCTTCCACTGAACTGGAATGATGCAGTGGCCCCGTTCTAAGCTTTCAGTTGGAACTGAACAATGGGAAGGGTAACTGCTCCCAGCTAGGTGGATGGGGGAATGAAAGCGCAGTTGCTCTTTTCTGCCGACTGGCGAGCAATGGCACCGTTTCTAATCAGGAGTGATGTGAATTTGTTAGGCACCGCTGAAGCGAGAGGCACTTCATGTGAGAAAAATAAAGTCCTACAAGTAGGTCCTTCACTTCAGGGAAAAGAGCTTCCAATTCCAGCAAGAATTAAAAGGTTCCAGTGTCCTCACAGCAATCACTGAAGCAGAACATATTGCACAAATTCCTAAGCATCTCATTCAACCATCAGATATGATCGAGTTGCTCTGCTGGTTTCTTTTCTATAGCCAGCAGCAATGAATTTCACCTGGTAGCTTCAAAACATTTTACTTTGCTACTTTCTCAGCAAGCAACTTAGCCCACTCCTGCCCTGGATGAGAAGGGAATTCACCCAATGCATTTTGGATTTGGGAATCCCATTTCTTGCACCTATTGCAGCTTGCTCCGAGTACATTCAGACTCCGCTTCATTGAGAGAGAACATTTTCCAGCACAAGAGATTGGATGGCTTCATGCATCATGCTTCACCTGATGTTCAACTAACCATTTTTCTGGATGCTAATTATGCATTGAACCATAAATTTACCCAATGGGCTGGGTTTGGGCAATTGCTTGGCCACAAAAAACAAAAAAAACAAGGGTACCACAACTTAGTGGGTTGTGTGAATGTAAGCTGCTCCAAACATGCTGTATGAATGCAGCCAATTTCTCCTTGTTTTTAATTCATTCCACAACTGGGTTTATTAACAATTGGTAGGGAGGGCAATCAATCAGGTTTACTACACCCTAAGGCCAGATACAGCCAAAATATCTAACGATAGCAGTGTTAAATCCTTAAACATATGACAGAAAAACAGTAAATATAATAGGGTCTAAAATAATTAAGAAATACTCAAAATATTATTGTAAGAAATTCCAAACCTAGGTAATGGTGTGGCGTATCGTACAGATAGCACAAAACTGGGCAAGTTGGGTGGGTATTTTTGAGTCCCTGTCTGAAAGAAAACATTAAATAAAAATCACATTTCCTACCTGGAAATTTCTTCAAGCTCCGATATGTATGAGTGTCTAGAGCAATGAGGTAGCCTATAGTTTAGGGTGTCTACTGATCTGTCACCACACGGACACAACTGAAGTTCAAAGTGCTCTTAAAATGTCCAAAGGGGGCCGCTGAAAGGAAAGCATCCGTCCTGGCTCAGGGGAAGGCCCTACCACGTTTCAAAATTGTAATGGACCGTAAACGAGGCCGCAATGAACCCTTTTGGGAGAAGATGAGAAATACTGGGGTGTAGTACCTGCTTAAATTTATTTGGAGCTCTATATCCCAAATTCGTCGTTTAAGTGGGAGTCGAGATTGACTCAAAGGCACACATTGCGAGGAGAAAAGAAAATGGAGGGGGGGTGTTGACTGAAAGGGGACCCAGCCAGGAAGTGGAAGGTGAGCGTGGCCCAGGATGGACGCAGGGCTCAAAGGCGCTGCCTCGGGGTGCGGGCGGCCTGAACCCCGTTTCCCTCCCCCGCCCCTCCCAGGGATGGCAAGCCTGCCCCCGAACTCTGCTCCTGGAAAGAAGGGGGGCCAGGAAGATCAGCGCCCGGGAAGGCTGCGCGGGCGGGGGGTCACCGCGCGCGGATCTCCCGCAATCGCCCCTCCGGCCAGCCTGGGCTTTAAAGGCAGCTAACTGGCTGACTTGGCGATTAACTAAGCGGACGCCGACCGTCGAGGCTGGCTGTGCTATAAAGTGCCCGACCCGACCCTAGCCTAGCCTTAACTGCGACCCGGCAGGCGGAAAGTAAAACGCAGCACCGAGCGCAGGAAAGCGCGGGATGGCGCCGGGAGGGACGAGCGCGGAGCAGGGAAGGAGGCAGAGACGAAGCC